TTATCGCTCTGCTGACCCTTGGGGTCCATTTTATTTTGGTATACCTTTTCTAGGTACGTTAGCCTGTGACCACGGAAATTGGCCGAGTCAAGTGATGGATTAGTACGGAGAGATTGACACAGAAGGTACTGGATAGAGAGACCGGGATGGTTTTTAATGTGAAGACAACAACAACAACAACAACACCTACCTGTGATGTGCGGGTCATTGTTGATTTTTAGAAGAAAGGGGCATGACGTCATGAGCGTTGCCGCCCGCCCGCCATGTGATCTTTTTGTGTTTTGCTATGCGTATGACTTCCCCCCATTCCGCACCCGTCCTGGCTGCCAACAAATTAGAATAATGTGCGATTCATCCTGTGTATATATAATTCATGACCTGACCGTTGTGTCCTCGTGGCCCGGGTGCAACAGACAAACAAACACGGGTTGGTCGACGTGCAACTGTAACCGGTATTCTTACGCGCCTGCACCCGCTACAATGCTACGACTTTAGCGTAGGGTTCGTCTGTTTTTCGGCACTGTGAACGGCTTCCTTTTTCGCGGCATTCAGTGGCACCGGCCGTTGTGAGCCAACAACGGGGTACAGAGAGAAACGGGCATGATGGCATGAGGGCAGCACTCTAGCTGTCGCCACGTGGGAATACCGGCAGCGTCGGTGGGGGGGCGACCCTGGCCCGCACGCTCTTGTCCGAGACAGAAGCACGCACATCAAGATAATCCAAACCAGCTATTGCTGTAGACGTATCGGTGCCCATTTCCTAAAAATTCTTCCACAAAGGATCCCGCTCGACCGGTAAGATTTTCGTATGAAGTTGGCGGTTTATCAAATATGATCACTGCCTGCTGCGCTGTTGCCGTGCATACGTGCGCCCAAGTCCTCCTCACACGCTGGCAAGGGCCAATCACCAAGAGGGCACCCCCGCTGCGGCCGGTCTCCCCACGCAGCCTGCCTCCGCGTGCGATTTCTTTGTGGCACGGACGACCGACAGGCGCTGATTGATTTGCCTTTATAAAATGCATAGCAACAACAACAACAGCACCATCTTTCTTCGGAGACCGCGACAAAAGAAGGAACATAGACGAACGGGTAGTCTTTCTATGAGGCGCCGTCTCCTCCTCCCTGCAGCGCATCTGACCATCTGATAAGATAGCCCGGCAGACGCTGACAACTGCAGGAGCAGCAGTGTGGGTTTTTTTTTGCTACGCACGAAGATCTTGACCAAGTTACCGGCCGATCTACATGTGGTGGGTCGCCAAAGCAGCAAGGTATGTACAGCAGTAGGTCTCGAGCGTTGCGATTTCCACATCCGCGAAGGAGGAGCAAGATCGGGGACCCCAGATCTGGGGCCAAGTTTTGGACTGCTGTTGGTGGGTGTGCGCCGTTGGGTGCTTGCGATATGTGATGTTGCTGCGGTCTACATACTATGATCCAACCATGTCGCAACCAGTCCCCTCGCCCAATGGGCTTAGAGTGCGTGCGGCTCCCTCTCCACATGCATTCGACTCCTGTGAAAGATCAAGATGGATTCGTTCGTGATCAACGGGGCAAATATATACTGGATGGCCGCATCATCCATGCACTCGAACTGGTCTCGCGAACGTACCACACTGCCGGGCACTCACATGCTTCGTTCTTGTCCTGCAGCCTTTTCGTTCGTCGGTGGGCGGCGTGTACAGGTACCAGGATGTTCCCGGCGTCGAGCTCTTCTTCCCGATGCTTCCCTCCCCTCTGATCCTGGCGCTGATGATGCCCTGACAGGCTTTGACGGTCTTGATGGCTCACAGAACAAAACACCCCGAGCGAACCGGTATTTCGCAGTATCTCTTGATTGGCGAGTAAAGCTCTCTCGTTCTCTCTCGCCCTCTTTCTATATCTGTTCCCAAGGGTGTAAGCCCGATAGCCAGTGGTGCGGATTCTGGCACTAGTAGATACAAAATGAAGAGAGACTGCCGTGTGTGGAGATCAGCTGTGAATAACGTCGACCGTGGCTCAGGCTCCCGCCAAAACATCCATCAATCCAGGGGGCTCTGCGGACATTTGTTTTTCTTGGGTATCCTGTCTCCGCGTACCCCTCCTGCACCTTTCGGACCCCCCCATATGGTATGGCCCATATGGTACGGTTGTTGTTTGCGTTGTTGTGATTCCAGCGCCATTTTGCAGCTCTCTCTCTCTCTCTCTCTCTCTTTCTCTCTCTCACTCTCTCTATCTCTCTGTCTCGTTGTGTCCGTGCGTGTTTCTGTCCCTCTCCTCTCGCTCGAGCGGGGCATCGTTAAGATTATTGACGGCAAGTGGGGACTTGGCCGTTAGGGCGTAGCGTCTCACTGTCCGTTCGAGGAACTCATCTCTTTTTTTGGTTTTTGTGTGGAACGGCGGGAATCAAGAGAGAGCGAGGGGCCAGGGCAACCGACGACGGGGAGAGCGCGAGGGAAGCAGGAGAGAGATAGGGGCTTTCTGGAAGCAGGCAGAGAGACAAGGCCCTCTGAAGGGAAGGGGAAGAGAGAGACGAGAGGCAAGGGGGAGGCAGAGAGACCGGAGGAGGGAGAGTGAAAGAAGAGACCCCGCGAGAGGACGAAGAGAAGAGGCAGAGAGGGCAGGGTGCGAACGAGATGAGCGAGCTGTGCCATGTGTGTGACTTGTTTCGGACGGCGCTGTTTGGACCCACGAATACCGAGGACCACTTGGACGATGGCCTGGGTAATGACCTGCCTCGACCAATGGCGGACGCACCAGCAACGATGGGCGTAAGGTGAGGGGGCTGGATTTATGGCGTGTGCGGGTGTGTTTCGGTGTTGACTTCTGTGATTGTTAGGCAGAACACAACAATCAGGCCCTGACTTATCCAGCTGTGGTAGATCCGTGCACTGCAGCAGCAGCAGCAGCAGCAGCAGCGGTAGCGGTAGCATACCTTTGACTGCTGATTCCCGCTCGACTGCTGCGTCGCCCGCAATGTAAAGCACACCAATCGCCCCCTATCTCACTTACCTTTTTCCTCCCATGGGGGCGGGTGGCGTGTTTCCGAACAACGCAAATAATCCGTGTATGTAAGTGAAAATGACAGCTTGTTTTTTCTCTCGAGCTGTGTTCTCCGTCCCCCTTGACACCGTCCTTTGGTAAAGGCGCTCTCTGTGGGTACAAAGCAAAATATTCGAACATCAGAACAGATATTGACATGTGAAAGAATGAATTAGTATATAGGGTCGATAGGAGAGTTAGCTGGGCTTGGATGGTCGGAGGATGTTGTTGCGGTAAGTTGAGCTACTTTCTCCCCGTTTCGTTTGCGCCAAAGCTATGATATGCGTGGCAGCTCGCTTTCTCGGCTGTTCAGCGGTTTCGGCAAAACTTTTGTCACGGTGACACGGCATCAGAGAGCAGGGTCGGAGAAAGAGGGGGCGAGAGATGGAGATAAACGGGATCTTCATTTCTTTTGGCCGGCTTCCTTTTCTCCGGTCACGTTTTACCCTCTGCTGTGCTCAATCCCGGCTCTCTTGTTCATTTATCGTTAACGGGCTGCGTTGAGTCGAAACAGAACGCAACAACGTGGACAGCAGCATAGTATAGTGCATTGCCGGTACGCAAGAGACCCCGCCCATTTGCAAGAGGAGGGTGGTTCAGCTGCTGTTTTGAAGGCGACGCATGGTTCTTGATGTGCCCGTGTTGTGGTTCTCTAAAACAGCTAGCCTCGAGCATTGAAATTGGATAAGTTGTTGGTGGAGGAGGCAATGAGCTGGTTCTCTGCCAACTTAGCCAGAAGTGCTTTTTTTACCCGAATGAGGGGTTCCATCCGCCGAAAAGGCCTCTCTTTTTACTCAGTCTAAAGTACTTTTCAACCTTGATATTTTTTGGAATGTTTTTTTCTTCACCCATAGTTTGGAGGGCAACCTTCTGTCTAATTAGTGAACAATGTAGCTCCGTGGGCGGATTGTTTCTCTCGCTCCATCTGGGTTCGTGCAAAAAGTTTTGTAACTCTGTCACAGCGGATGGTATTAGGACTACACGTTGAAGAAGTAGTACTACTGTAGATTTTGGAGTCCACCTTCGGTTAGCAGCTCGACTGAGGGCATACTCACCTCCCCCCTCTCCCCACCAGCTTAAGTACCCTCATTTCCAGAGGTAAAATCAACTACCATGTAATAGACTTGGTGCACATCGCCAACAACAGCAACACAGCTACATAGCTGGCAAGATCAGCAGCGCCAGCAGCACTAAATTACCCGGCCAGTAGTGGCATTTCCTGAGACAAAATCAACTAGACATGGTGTACGTCGCCAACTACAGTAACACAGCCACATTGCTGGCAAGATCAGCAGCGCCAGCAGCAGCTCGAGGGCGCGCTCTGTTGTGTTGTGTGTTTTTTGTGGGGTTCAGGCAGAGGTACTTGCGGACCCCTCGGGGCCATTTTATTTGAGTGTACCTGTTTAGGGTAAGTTAGCCTGCGACCACGGGAATCGACCGCGTCGAGTGTTGTATCAGTACGGACATGCGAAGGTACTGGGTAGAGAGAGATCGAAACGGTTTTTGATGTGAAGACAACAACAACAACAACAACAACCCGCCCGCCCGGCCGACGATCGATCGTGGTCCGCTACCGGCGAGCTTAGTGTGTCGTTTTTTTGTCCGTGCTCTCCTCGTCGAAAACTAGCGAAAACAGAATCGTCCCTTTTTGTCCTTTTTCTTTTCCCTGAACTTCATCCACCAGCCTCCTGCTTCTTGTTGGCGGTCTGCGTGTGTGTATGGTATTTCTGCGTTCTGCGTCACGTCCGCACCCATGGGTCTAGAGTGTAGAGTGTGCGAGCAACGATGGCCCTCTTCCGCGAGTCCCCCCCGCCCCGTCGAACGGAGATGGTGGGTCGACGAAACAGCTCTATCGGGTAAACGAAAAAGGAATTATTTTCCAGCCTCACCAGACGAAGGAACAAGTTCTACTCCTCTTGTATGCGTATGGAACAAGTTCTACTCCTCTTGTATGCGTATGCATACTCAGATATGCACATCACCAGATGAAGTACCAAGTGTAGATACCTGTTTCATCGCGCTTGGGGCTTGTTGTATGGTATGCATATGGGGTGCGTGGCATCCTCCGCAAGTCCTACACAGGTGCAGAGATGAAGCCTTGATCCCAAAACGAAACGGCTTGGCGATCACGCCAATCACAGCGGAGGCCTTAATCATGTGATGATGATGCCATTACAGAGCA